CACTGTGGTGGTGGTGCAGAGTTGTGCTCCCCCAGTGTCAACACTTACACATCGCTTATGCTGTGACTTGATATTTTCTGTCTCTGGAGGGATTGCTAGTTACCAATATAATCGTGGGTTGGGGCTGCCCCGCTACTTCAACCACAGACCTGCCTAATAGCATATGCAAGCTGCACTCAGTGCTTGTGCTCACTGTACACCTCCAACTTTTTACTTCAGCCCAAGCAAACACTGTTTCCCAACTCTTTGTACAACTACTCCATATAGCTGGGACCTACCTGAGCCACCTTTCCTCTAATCCAACGGCCCAACCCAGAGCCCTCAGCCCTCATCTACCCAAGTCACAAGCAAGATGCACCTCACATGTTTTTCACAAAAGTTCTTTAATATCTGCAGTCCCTTCCAAGGCTCAGTTTCTTCAGTTTGGACCAGTTATCTCCTCCTGGCACCCAGGGCCAAGAGGTAGTAAGGGCCACCTGACTCTTATTAGACCCCACTCTGGGGCCTCAGGTGACTACACCATTCTACCAGACAATGGTGAGTACAAACTCCCCCAGCAAGGGGTTGGCAACCTCTTGGAACAGCTGGCTGGCTGCTTGTGATCCGGCTGCTGCTGCAGGCCATTGCTCTACTGAGAGCCAACACTCCCTTCCCAGCACCCAAGCTACTTGCTGCACCTCTGCCATACACTGCTGCCTTGCCGCACACACCATGTGCTGCCAGCTCCCAGCCCCAACAGCAGTGGGGAAGGCTGAATTGGCAACAATGGTAAGCAGCACCTGCTGTATGGGGAGACAGCTGAGGGCTACAGAGATCAGTGGCACTATGGAGGGAAGAGGTGGGGGACATGCCAGGCTCAGCTATGTGCTGCTGTTCCCCAGTGCCACTGTGGGCCAGATTTGGCTTGTGGACAATAGACTGTGCCCTGGCTTAGGCCACTTACTTATCTGTCACTCACCAACATGGACGTTTCCCATTATGAGATGAGACCAGCATCTATTAATGTCTACCTTAATGTGCCAGCCCCGGTCCCTAGGGTGCAATCCTCACCCTTAGTGACAGGGAAAACAGGGCAGTTGAGAATAGCTGATCAAACAGTGCTTACAGAATATACAATCCAATGAATTTTGTCTTATAAAATTGTTTTCAAACATCCCCAGACTGGTTCCAATATCTGAGAATCTATTTGGCCCACAAGAGAGGAGGGCAGATTGAATATTCATTTTTCAAATGTTGATATTTAATATTCAGGGTTTAGTATTGATTGCCCCAGTATTCTAGAAAGCAGAATGCATTACTTATACATATAATACAAGTATTTGTAAATTATTGCTTGTGATTTTAATATGCGTATGATTTAATCATATCAACCAGTTTCAAGGATTCACAGATTTGTTGATACTAAACAGCTTGAATACAACACTTCTGCACCAAAGCCCTAACATTTAGGAAATATTAATATTTTCCCCATTATTCAACTAACTTTTGGGTATCATTGATTTGTCATGTTTTATTTAGTATCTTTGTAAATGATCTAGAAAGTTGATTTAACAACATAACAACTATATTTGCAATTTATACTTGATCTGAGCCCACAACTCAATTGGAAGGAATTCCAAAGATAAGGGAAAGTACAGAAATAAAAATAAACTTACAAAGACTGGATACATAAGAAAAAAATAACAAATGAAATAGTTTGGAAAAAAATAATCCAAGAAATAGTAACGTGTAAACACGTAAAAAATTGTGTTTTACTTGGCTGATGTCAAAGGAGGGTAAGTTATGATAATAAATACTAAAATGGATGGGGTATACCACTGTAACTATTAATTTAATGTAAACAGAATAGCCCATGGATTGTCCCTGGCTGTGTAATATGGACAGTTTGCAAAGTTGGGACCTTAGGCTGTGTAGAAGAGACATGTTAGTTAGAAAATGGAATTTAATAGGTTTTTACTCTCCCTGAAGATTCATTGCTTCCCTTCCTCCAAAGGTTAAAAATATTTAGGGATGTCTGAGTATTTGACAGCTTTTAAGAGGCAGACAAAACTCTTGGGTTAAAGGTGGTATCTTTTATTAGACCAACTAAATAATAGCAAAAATAATTTTCTTTGCAAGCTTTTGAGTCCAAAACACCCTTCATCAGGCAGAGAGTTCAAAGACTGTAAAAGTTCTCACAGGTAAAAAAGAAACTTCATCTTGCACAGGGGAGGCAAAAGATGGTAGGGTTCGCCTTGGTTTCAAAGTCCATTTGTGAAAAAGTTGCCCTGTGACTATGCATATTAGGCAAGGACAAAGCTCCAGCAGGTTTCTTCCCTAAAGGTGTCAGTATATTTAATACAAATAGCAAATTAACTCTGAATCATCTGTACTGAGAGATTAATGAAACTAAATGTTAGCCTGTGTCTAAAGCATGGATATATGAAAAGATTTAAGTTTTACATGGTAGATCTTAGTGGCTCCAGAAAGGCTGTTGTTAACAGTGTTGGGGATGTGTGTGTGCATGTGTGCATATGTTCAACAGCTGACTCATCTAAAGGATTTAACATCTTAAAAACTTTTAATGACATTTCCAAATAAGAAATTAATATATGCTTAAAATAAACTGTTTTTATACACAAAAGATTGTGGTTGTATTTATTTGCATCTTGAAAAAGTATTTAAGGACTCTGGCCAATAGCGCAGACTAGTTGCTTGCAAAATCTTAGTTAAATGAAAGTCAATTTTAAATGCCATATATGGGTATAAAATACACTACATGAAACTAAGGGCATCTTTTTCCCCCGTTTTATTCTCTAATACAATAAAGCAACCAGATTTTAAAAAACCCACCACCTAAACTTCAGCCTAGCATATACTTTATTCAGTTAAAACATAATACACCACTGAAAAGAATTTATAATGGACTCAGAAGCAGCAGCATTGACTGTTTTGCAACATTCTGGAGTTCAGCATGTTTGTTCAGTACACAAGCCAGGGGAAAAAGACTGTGTGCCTACAACTGGCCTATTCACAGGCATAGCAGGCCTTTTCTACACCTGAGCGGGTAAAGGAAGTCTGTAGGGCACACATGGCAAATCAAAGGGGTAAAGCGATGTCCCTGAAGTTATTCCTCCATGCTGGGCCCACGCAAAGAAATGAAACAAGCAGACTGTAAAAGGCGACTGGCTGCCGCTCATCTGTGTACTTGAAGTGAGCACGTTCCTGTACCTGGGTACTTGGCTCTTGCAGTGGGGAAAAGAAGTCTGTTGTCCTTAGCGCAGTCCTGTCCTCACACATGGAGCCTGGACTGGGCAGTTCTCAGCTCCCTCTCTCAGTTCAAGTGTAGTTCCTGGCTGGGGAAATACCATGACAACTAATGTGGTTTTCCTAGTTGGAGGGGGTAGTACCCTGACTGAGATAATGATAGCCTCCCACTTTCACTTCCAATGGGAAGATCTCAGCTATATGCCAACTTTATGGAAATGGGAGACTCCTCCTTAGCTTGCTTCTGTGGCCATACAGTTGAAGGCAAGCAAAACTTGTGGGCATCTAAACCCCAAGCCTCCAGGCTTGGGCTTACATGTAGGATTCCCCCCAAAAGATGTGGAAGCATCTGAAGCTCCAGGTTGGGGTGGAGGATGCTTGCTGGTAGTAGGGCCACATATGGTTCTTGAATGACTCAGATTTTAAATGGATTTGGCTGATTTGGCTTGGAACACAAAAAAAATTCCTTAAAAAAAAAACAAAGGAAAAAAAAAGAGTGAAGTTTCCAGGTATAGGCAGATTAATGAACGGGCAAGCTGGGCATGAGCCCAGGGGCTTCTACCAATTTGGGATACCAGGATCCTTATCAGCAGGGAAATGAAAGCCTGAGTTTTAAACATGGCGCCCTTTCTTGGCGCCAAGTTTAAAACGGCAGCTTTCACATTTGCTTCCCTGGGAGCTGGAAGAGGGACCCCTCCACAAATGGGGCTGGAGGGAGGGGGGGCAGGGCTGGGCCACAAGAGCTGTGCTGTGCCTGGGGGAGTGAAGGCGGACTGGGTGGCAGTGTGTCTGGGGGAGAGGGCGCAAAGCAGGACTGGGAGAGCTGTGCTCCACCTGGCGGGGGGGCAGTTGGGACAGGGCTGTGCCATGCTGCGCTTTTGTGGGCAGCAACGCTGGGAGAGACTTGAGGGCTACAGCCCCCAAAATTCATCTTAGCCGCCCCCCCCCCAGTGCTGCTGCCTGCCCACGGAGACATGGCGTGGTGCTCCCCGCCCAGCCCAGCTCAGCTCTCTGCATGGCTGCACGGGACAGCTGGGCAGCAGCTCCCTGAAAGTAAGCGTAACAGAGGCCAGGGATAGGGAGCAAGACAGCCACAGGCGGCTCGTGCAGGGTGGGGGCGAGGGGTGGAGCGCTGCCTCCATGTGATCGAGTGTCCGTGTGTATGTGTCCACGTCCAGAGTGTAGAGAGTAAGCACCTGCGTCTGTGTGCACCCGTGTGTACACTCGACTGTAGCAGGGAGAAGTGGTGGGCATGCTCCCCCCAGCCTCCGCCGCAGCCCAGCTCCCACGGGGTGAGGGGGCCTCCAATTTTGTGCCTGCCCAGGGCCCCAGTGCACCTTAATCCCCCTCTTCCTAGGACAAAAGCAGTGAGGGGACCCCCAACAGCCATCGCCCGCGCTGAGGCCGTCAGGCTTCCCCGGGGACACGGGCTGGGGGCGGCCCCGGAGTGACGGGCTCGGAGGCAGGGGCTGCGGGAGGCGACGGGCACCTCGGGCTCCTGCCACGCGGCACGAGTCGGTCTGTAAGGGGCCGCCCCGGAGACCATCAGTGCAACACGGAGTGATGCTCCGGGAAGCTCCCCGCCGCGTCACCCGGAGCCAGATCCGCCGGGTCAGTGATCTGGTGGCATCAAGTGGCGCAGCCTCACATGGCCACACAGCAGCCCTCAGTGCGGAGCACAGTGCCCGAGCACCCCCACAATGCACCGGGACCCAGCTTCCGCCAGGAGCCGGCACGGGAGCGGACGGCTCACTTCCGCCAGCAGCAGTCACATGACTCCCCCCTCAAGATGGCGGACAACCTGCCCTCCGAGTTTGACGTGGCGGTGATAGGAACCGGTACGGGAGGCACCC